AGAGGAACTGCAGTTTCTGGCAATTTAGCATTCTTTAATGATATTTTGTAGAAAAAAACTAATTTTGCAATCACAACTAAGTAGCTGCAGCTGGTGGTTTGGGGCTATTTAATGTAGCTATTGTTCAGTTTTGTGACTGATTAATCAATTTACTAACTGCTTATTATTTTTGCTTCAGTGTTCATATTCTACACTTTAGAGTCCAGGCATGCTTTTATCTTTTCATACTTGTTTTCTTTTCTCTCTGGGCCAGCGTGTACGATTACCTGGAATACTGCATGAATAGAGCATGTCAATTTATGTATTTTTGCAGATTTTCTCACACAAAAAAACCCTGTCATTAAAAAGAAGCAGGTTTAAATTGCTTTTCGCTCTGATGTTATGTTCCCACTCTGTCAAAAGTTTGCCGTAAAAGCCGTAAAAGTGAGTAGTGACCGGAGTTGAAGGGTGAACGAGGTCACCGGGTCCTCTTGTACCGAGCGCACCTCAGAAAATGCTTTCAGTTATAGACGGTGAAGAGGAAAATGGGCAAACGAGCTGCTGATTATGCAGCAGCGACTCGTTTCTCTCTAAGCAAATAAACATAAGTGGGTAAACTTTTCAGAGTTTGGAGCATTTTTAAAACTCTGATTTTCATCCAGATTTTTGCGTTGTTATTGTCTTCCTGATTCCCCCTAGTTTTTTAAAATCAAAGCTGGACTGATTTTAATGTCATAAAATAACAGATAATCAGAGGAAAACAGAAAATAATGAGTTGGATGAAGCTACAGATTGCCTGCTCTGATCAAATGCACGCTATTCTCTTTGTAAATCTACATTTTTCATTTTTTGGTTGTTTATTTTTATTTATTTTTTGCTCTCCTCAGGCCTGATCAAGACAGCCCTGCCTGGCATGGACAGGGAAGTCAAAGAAAACTACCAGGTTGTGATCCAGGCTAAAGACATGGCCGGACAGATGGGCGGGCTCTCAGGAACCACAACGGTCAGCATCACCCTCTCAGACGTGAACGACAACCCACCACGCTTCACCAAGAGTGAGTACAGCCCTTCTGGTGGACTTGTGCGTGCACACACACACTGACCAATCCTCAGCTCATGAGAACCACTTGTCAGTGTGAGCCGATGCCAGGCAGGCAGCCCCCATCTGGTGTCAGTTTCAAAATGAATTTGGATTATTGCAGGGAGCTCTGGGTTTTGTGCGACTAAGGCGGGCCTCTTAAAGGCAGCGAATAATTAAATATAGAGCCATATGACAGAGCGAAGGGTCCTGCAAAGTGCATCAGATCAGCCCTGTAATCCCTATTAAATGAAGAGAGTACATTCACTGGGTTTTATCTCCCCTGCTCTTCCTCTCTCTTTGTCTATCTCTTGCTATTAAGTCTTCTGCTGCCTTTTTACTCCATAAAACCACTGTTCTCAATTTAGTGCTCAAACTGTCCTTGGTGCATTTTTCTCCTCTTTTTTTGTTACACTCGCACTCATCAATCACTCACTCCTCTTTACTCCTTACGTACTCTCTTTTCACATACTCTCTCCCGTTCTTCCTCTCCCTCCCTCTTTGCTCTCGTTGCATCTGGCAAATAAATGGTGAAGGGAGCCAGATCAGATTGACAGATTACCGATGTTGTCGTGTCCCTCGCTCCCCCCCACGCGTTTCACTGTACGGTGGTTGACGCGTGCGCACAGCCGCGAAACGCAAGGCAAGCACGCGCCTGCGGAACTCCCACCAGCTCCGGGGGTGGTGGGAGTGGTGGTGGGGTGGCAGCTGCTGTCATTTCAAACCCCTCCACCAATGAATGAAGAGCGAGAGGAGGGAGGGAGGGAGACGGATACGACGGGGACGGGGAAGGTGACAGGAGCGGGGAAGAAAGGGGAAGAAAGAGGAAGAGTGAAGCGGACGGCAGAAAGACAGCCTGTGATAGAGGCGAGGGGGGGGTGGAGGGGTGGGGGTCGCGGGTAGATTGAAAGAGGAAGAGATATTGTAATGGGACACCCAGAGGAGGTAGAGTGTCAGGAAGCGATATCATTGTTGTCTGCCGGAGTGATGCCTCTTCTTTTCCACCCAATGCTAAATACCTGTTAGCCCAGGGAAACCTTCTAGTGGTGCAGTGTGTGTGTGTGTGTGTGTGTGTGTGTGTGTGTGTGTGTGTGTGTGTGTGTGTGTTTGGAGGCAAGTGTCAGCGTCACAGAGACCTGCCGACTCAGGCGTTGCCAAAACACTGTCAGCATGTTTTATTAGTGTGTCACTGCTGTTTGTCTCCGCAGGCTGTGTGTATATCACCCTCGCTCCCCTCCCGCAGTCCAGCTATTTATTTAAGCATACGAGATGCAACCGAGGCCGCCGCGGCCGACAGGCAGCCATCAATTTATCCCCCCTCAAACCCAGAAATCATCTCAGAAAATGAGTGTGGGTGGGGGGAGGAAGAAGAAGAAGAAGAAGAAGCAATTAATTTATGTTGAGCAAATTGGCCCAGAATTTATGTTACATCCTAAACTTGAAGTGGCGAGTCAATACGGCTTGTAGCAACCTACGTGAAAGGCCAAACGTCTGTTTTGGAGCTGAAATATTTTTCGGCACATATGAGATGTCTTTCAGCTAATCTACAAATGTAGCAGCACTAAATCCAACACTCCTTCTGACACGCTCTCCCTCCTCGGCTGGCTCTTACACTGCTGCTCTCTGATTGGCTCTGACTCACTTTCTCCCTGACCTGCTCTCTTGTATTCCTGCTCTCTGACTCACCCACTTACACTCTTTCTTTTTTCACTAACAAGGCCGTAAAAAATGCTCACGTTATGACGCTCGTCGGGCTGTCAGGGGTGGCGCTTGCTTCTTTTGTGTCCGGCGCGTCGTGTGTGACTGTGTGTGTGTGCGCGGTTTGTTTTAAATCGATCCCGGGGTGCGTTTTAGGGGTGTTGTAATTGCTTTTCGATTAGACTTGAGGAGATCTTAGAAAAGAGCCGCTAATTCACCACTTATATGAATTGCATCTTTGTGTGGGAAAAAATTTTAAATCTGGCATGAAAAGAAACACCAAGGGCATGGCCTTGGTTTTTGCAGTCCTACTGCTACACACACACACTTTCAAGCTTTCTCCTTTTTTTTTCTGAACAGCTTCAGTGTTGCTCCGATTAACAAAATCTTCTCGTCTCATAAACTCTTTGCAGCCCTCTATGAGTTCAGGGTACCCGAGTCCATCGAGGTTGGGTCTGCGGTGGGAGTGATCCGAGCCATGGACGCGGATATTGGCCAGAATGCGGAGATGGACTACCGGATTATTGGGAGCGATGGGCCTGGGATGTTTGAGATCACCACCAATAGGAGCACACAGGAGGGTGTCATTTTGCTGAGGAAGGTCAGGCACTCTCTATAGGGAAGTTTTATGGGATCACATGAGCAGTTTTAACATTTTCACTTTGATTTATTCGCCAAAAGAATCCAAATTGTGTCTTCAAGATTATGAAAGCAGCTTGATAGAAATACTGACACGGTTATTATGTTGCAGCTTTTACAGCAGCAAGAATCATAAGCAACAGGCGCTGCTTTGTTATCTTTTTGCCCTGGGTTTCGCCTGTCAGGCTGCAATGACTCTGTGATTGGTGGAGAACTATATGAGCCTCAGGCTTCCTCAGAGGCAGCCCCGCAGACGCAAACCAGGAAAAAATTCTGGGAAATATTTCTGTCTTCTGCATATTTTCCACTAGAGAAATGCTTTAAAATACATGTTTATTTACAGTAAAATCTTGTTGACACGAGAGACGTGCATGCACAGGCTGCACAACGACTTCGCTCATGCTATATGCATTACTTCATGTGTGCACAAAACTAGCGATATCTCTGCCAACGTGCAGCTGTGACTATGCGCTGTGCAAACATGGTGTAAATGTTCTCCTAAAAGTGCCCTAAAACGAATAAAAGATGAGATATTAATACAGTTCAACTTATAACCTTTACTTTTTATCTTTTGTAATACATTACACAAGCACAACAGGCAAATCAAACACAATATAACAAATAAAACACATTCATAAAATTCAGCTTACATACTCAACAGCATTATGATTTCTTATGATTGCGAGCTTTCACTGTTATTGGCATCACCTAATTAAAAGCCTTACGGTGCATGTTGAGGTGAAGCAGTGCTATAGAAATAAACTGAAGTAAAACTGAATTATAATGAATAGAATTATCACTTTAAAATCATAAATGACATTTTTTTTACACACTTTATAACCTTGACATCTCTAATATAATTTGTTCTTGTTGGAGACTTTTTAAGGATTTTATTCATTTTGTTTAGCAGGAACTTTTTAAAAAACTCTTTGGTTGAAAACCTTTAAAGAATTGGCTAAAAACTTTTCAAATTCAAGAATTTACTTAGAAGTGTTTTGTACTTTTTCTTTAACCTCCTAGGACCTGGCAACCCAAAATCACATTTTGGGTTGTCTAGACTAAAATACTATATTTTGCTCTACAAGGGCCTGATATCCACTTAAGCTGGGCAAACACTGCGATTTTTTTCAGTCGTGTTACTCAGCTTCTGCTCAAACTGCACGATTGACTCGCAGGGGTTAGAAGTTCGCAGGTCACGATGCAGGGTCTCACACTATGCGGCCCGATGCTCTGATGCGACCTGAGTGCTCACACTGTGCGTCCATAACATGAAGGTTATAATGGAAAATCTGTCTCTCGCTCTCCCTCTCTGTCTTTCACTCACACAGACTCACACCACCACCATCAACTTTGCTAAAATGCTAATGAAACACATTGATCAGGCAGCTGTGATTGAGCAGCAATGTCCATCCAACTATTTTCACGGTTGTTGTGGTCGTGATAATTTTGTGAGGCCACATCGAAAAGGCTCGGATGAGCTTTCCAAAGTTCTACAAGTTGTGCCTCCATCGCTTGTGTCCAGATCATGCGCTGCACTGCCGTGCTGCGCCGTCTTTTCACTTTCATTTCTGTGTTTGCGCGTACGCAGTGTGAGAGGCCGCGGTGACCCCCTCACAACGGCTGACAGGATTTCAAACAGGTTTGATTTTCTTACGGCCAAGCGATTGATGATCAGGAGCTGGTCGTGAGGTGTTAATCACTTCTCATTACCCCACGTATACTACACGATGCACGACACACGATGAAGGCGATCACCAAAACGGTCGCACGCCTGAAAATCGGCTCAAAATGAGCCAAAAATCACAGTGTAAGCCCAGCATTACGAGGACATTATACTGCCACTGTTCTATTGAAATTTTAAATAAATATGCTCATATGTGGATCTCATGTTTCTCAGAAACAAAAATTAGCTAAAAAAAAAAAAAATCTGGTAATTCTTTGTTTTTACATTAATCAGGTGCCAATCAGCCCAAATATCAAAGAGAAATTAAAAAGCATGACATGGAAGAGTTTGGGTCTTAGGAGGTTAAAGAACATGCACAAAAAAACCCACTTTGCAAACGTAGCTAACATTCTGTTCATGCTTTTTTTGATAGTTTTCTGAGTGTGGCTAACATTAGAGCCCAACATCAGACTCGTGACCGTGGCTCTAGCTCTGAATTGGATAAAGGTTAAGGATAAGGATCAACTAATGTTAGCAGTGCTTACACCAATAACTTTCTTTCTTTCAAAGCTAGCATTCTTGCACCTGTACAGAAGGTGATCAGATCTCACTGTCCTCTAACACAGCAAACACGTCACCTTTCACCTTGTTTGTTTATAACTTCCCGTCACAGACGGAGGGATGCTGCTGGCTGGTGACGGGTCGCTACGTAGAACCAGCTGAATAATTAATGTTTTTGACTGGACTCGACTTGACTAGCGAGGACGGCAACATCTGGTTGACTACTCGGACACAGGTTCACAATAAAAGCCAATTAAATGCTTTTACTGTGAAACAGGGAAGAGTTAGGCTGATTGCCATTGAAGCTGGGTTGATGTCTTATGTGGAATTGCAGGACTCTGCTGAAAAATGCAATATAGTGAATGCAACTGAAGTGGACTTATTGTTTTCATGGATGTATAAGATATATATAAGACATTAGTTTCAAGTAAGGATGGCAAGTAACCCCTGTGAAGCTGATCTAAACACTCAGTTTCATAGTTTTTAACCTTAGCCATTAAAAGCCGATGGGGTTTTTAATGACTCCATCGGGTCTCCGTGCAGGAGGTGTGGACAGCACGAACATCCAACTTTGTGAAAACGATAACTCGAAAAATTATGTGAAGATTGACACCATCGCTGAGTTTGAATCTTGGTGACGTTGACCTCCTTCCTGTGAGTACAGGGTACAGAAGGTTAAACTGTCTGGCAGCTGTTATGATCCAATGTTGTCATTGTGATTCATGACCTAGAGAGGGCATCAGCCATGACATTCTCTAAGCCCTTTTTGTACCGGATTTCAATGTTGAAGTCCTGGAGAAGTAAGGACCAGCGCATAAGGCGCTGGTTGCTGTTCTGCATCCGAGTTAGGAACTGGAGAGGGTTGTGGTCAGAGAACACGACGGTTGGAACAGGATTGGACCCAAGGTACACTTCAAAGTGCTGCAAGGCTAGCAATAAGGCTAAGGCTTCCTTTTCAATCGTGATGTAATGCAATTGGTGTTTTAGGAATTTTTTGGAAAAGAAACAGACTGGATGGTCAATGCCATTTTCATCCTCCTGCAAAAGCACTGCACCAGCCCCCAAAGCACTGGCGTCCACCTCAAGCTTGAACGGACGTGCGAAATCAGGGGCGGCCAACACAGGAGCACTGCAAATGAGAGCTTTGGCAGCTTCGAAAGCAAACTGACATGTCTCTGACCACACAAGTGGTCAACGTAACGTAACGTAACGTAACGTAACACAGCCAATCAGAAGAAAGTCCACCTACTGTAACAAGAGGAGTTAAAACAGCTTGTTGCAGCCTGAGAATGAATTTAGAGTCTGTGTGTAAGATACTGTTTTGAACTGTGAATGCAAAGCTCCTCTAGTAGTGACCAAGGACAAACCGACGGCGCTAGAAATGATCGAAACACAGACTTCCAGTTCTTTCACCACATGCAGGACTCACTCCCTCAGTGTAACCGAAAGGATAGACAACACAATAAGCAGCGCTCGATAAAGGGAAAAAAAACAAACTTTATTTCCATACGCAGCTGGGAGACGGACAGCAGAGTTATTAGATATCCACTTCCACTTCCCCACACTTCCACTACATATGTTTTCAGTGAGATTCATTCTTCCCCTCAGCTGAGACCAAAGCAGAAATATTGATGCCGAGTATGGATTGCAGCATTCTGCTTGTGGTGTGTTTGATGTATTCAACAGTATCTGGCAGTTGCCTTATCAAGCACCCTCTCTGCAGCCTTCGATCGATCGCTTCCATCATGCCATCATTAAGTGCTGGATGACATAATTGCCCTTTGTAGTGGATGTGGTGTGCAGGCACACTGTGTGTGGGGACTAAGCATGCCCTAATTTTGAACATACTAATTAAATGGGCTTGTCATCCCGTCTCTGATTGTACCGGCCCTTCAGAGGAACATATTCCTCCAGTGGACATGCGGTCCCCCTCCCCGGCTTGGCACCAAACAGTGAAAATCAATGACTCATAATATGTTACTATTCACAGATTCAGAAAACAGCTCGTTCCATCTGGATTCTTTTTTCCAAGCTTTCACTGGCTGTTCCCAACAATCGCGGACCCGGCGTCCTTTTATATGTACAGTAGGCAGCCGGTGAGGGAGCTCACTCTGATCCAGCTGCTCCAGCTCAGCACTGGGCGCACACTCATTAAAATGCACCGCTCCCCAATTATTTCCATCAATGAGGGGATACCTTTGCTGGCTACAACTTCAAAAATAAAAAGTTCAGACAGGGAACCTAAAAGAGAAAAGCTAACAGCGGAAAAAAAAACATTAGAACCGCAAAGGAATCAGGCTCCTAATCATCATGCACAGTCCATAAATTATAGGCTGCAACAGCAGTGTACAGTAGATGCAAGAAGATCAGGGTCTGTGCGTAAAAGCAACAGAGTTGTGTTCTTTTATGTGTACAAATAGATAGAAATGAAAGTATGGCAACAGGAAAAAAAGATGTAGTGTGAGTATAGTATAGGGAAAAAGTGCAACGACAAACTGACGCTCATCATCTGTGTTCTTCAATAGAATGGCTATGATGAAAGGACTTTATGCCCCTGTTTTAGTTGATTTTAATCTTTTTATAATCATCCCTATTAACCTTTTAACCTTAACACTCCCTCATAAAGTCTGGGATTAAAGCCGGGAGGAGGGGCATGCTTGAAATTGGAGATGAAGCGGAATAATTTTGACAAACGAGTGATTTTTTTGCATCAGTATCTGCCTTTTTTCCCCCCTTCGTTCTTTGGCCACATATTCCAGCAGTGATTATTTCCCATTTTGAGATAGTTTGCAGTAATCATGCCTTCAGCTGTGTCCCAGAAGCTTTTTTACCATAACTTACCTTATTACCTTAACATCACCGAGTGGCTGACAGCTTTCTTGTGGAGACTTTCCAGTAAAAGTCCTCCTCATCGTCCTTCGTTTCTCTTCTGTTATTAACCTGCCTGCTTGCTCAAGGCTCCAGATAAGAGTAGGAGATGCTACTGCACTAACATTAAGTGAACGGATTGCTTCCGATCCATAGTCACATATAGGAGTTGATTAAAAAAAAAAGACCAGAGGCATTGTCATATTTTTAAAAGGTTATAGCGGGTTTTCAAAATGCATTTTACCTGGGGGAGAAATGCTTGTGTTGTAACTACTGAGACAGGTGCACTTTGCAGGTATACAAGGCTGAAAACATCAAAACGTTTACAGTTTGATCCAAATACACTGAATCTGTCTTCCAAGTGACTCTGTTGGCATCAGGATGGTGATAAAATGGCAATAAGACAATCAGTCTGCGATTGACTGGCGAATCTGTTGTTGTCTACACACAAAAAATGTACATTAGAAACATTAACTAGTTACTGTTCGAGCCACAGATTTGAAACAGAAATTCCTCCACAAAGAACAATGTAGTTTCTGCAGGATGCAAAATAACATAGACACTTAGCAACTTGCTTTCAGATTGTATTACAACCAGAATATTACCAATTCAGTATGACTCTACTACGAGTTGCACTCATCAGTGTAGACTGACTTACTATAGATGGATCGCCAGGTGTTGTCAATCTGTCTGCATTTGTCAATTAAACAGCAACCATTTGCAAAGCTTCACCAATCGACAAGACGGACCACAGTTGTTTGGAGACAGGTCTCGAAATCAAAAGTGGTTGCACAGGAGTTAAGCATGCAACACCCCCAGCTAGTCGCAACAAGTACTCCAACAGCAAAAAAAGTTCAGTGTAATAACAGCCATTGATTTTTCTCCTACTTGTAAGGAGGTTGCTGTCTGATTTTTACTCTAGTGTGACTGAGCCGTTATATAGACAGCTAAGTCACTGATAACCAGCTCACCCTGGTTTCACATTGCGTGAAGGCTCGGCTGAGGCAGCCCGGTCAGCTGGCAGGAGCCAGTTTCTCTAGGAAGTCTCTTTGCTTGTGGTTGATCAAACTCTATCCCTGCTCTCTGGGACTTAAGATTGTGACATTGGTTCTTACTGTGCACTGAGATCAACTCTAAGTTGGAAGACCACATAAATCAGAACCTGAATCAGGTGGAAAACTGGTCACAACAGGATAAAGGATAAAAGTCGCCCGCTGCTTTCAGACTCTACGTTTTGAATCTTTAACATTGGTCTTTTGGCTGGTATGACTTTTGGTTTTTGGAGTTGGAAGTTACCTTATATGGATGATAAATAGAATGCTAGCCTAATGCTAACTAGCTTGGTTACCAAACAGCATTCACTTTCATAAACTGTACAGGTGCAGTGGCCGGGCACATATATTGTGTAGATATTGCCATGTAAATAAAATACGATTGCAATCAGCAAACTTGAAGCACAGATTCCTGGGATGTGTGGAACCATAGGACAACACACCTGTTAGTCTGTGTAGCCGTGCTACGGCCATGGATGAGTTAAAGAAAAAATCAACCCACTTAGGCTTGTTATGAAGGAGTAAATCTTTCGTAACAGGGAATGAACGTCCTTTTATGATGGTTGTGACTGAGCTAACCAACAAGGACAAGGATGTGTATTCAGGAAGGTGGAATTGGACTATCTGTCCTCCCACTGGAGACCCAGTCGTTTATTCGTCTGTTATTTATATTATGTCGTATTTGATTTAAGAATGTAGGGGTGAAGTACGACCACGACGACCATAATTAAAATCAAATTCTTAGGGAAACTTTGGTTGTCAAGTCTAAGCACAACTTCCAAGTCTCTCAAGAATATCCAGCATGCCTGTCTTTGAAACGTGTAAAATGGCTTTTAAAGAGTTCACACAGCATAATAACATTAATGTTGGCCCATTAGTCTAGAAGATCATACTATATGATACTATATTAAAACTAACCCTGATCTTAAACCTATACATTAGAAACGTAGATGTTTCTCTGCATTTTAATTCTTTTTCACCAAATTCCTACCATTCACTATCACTGTGATAATCTGGTATGTTGATCTGAGAAACAGCATCAAAATGAACAGATGTCAGCCAGCAAAGATCTGTGCACAGCTGTGATTGATTGTTTCATAGAGCCGCGCTGTGCCGAGCATCAGGAAATCAAACTGAAAAGCAAAGCGCAAACATGTAAGAAGTTGATAATAAAAAAAATGTAAAAAACTTTGTTCTTGTTTGTGTTATAAGGCAGGCTGTAATCAGATTTCCAGTCTTAAAACATGAATCCTGTCATTAGCCAGACCGTGTTGTTGTCATGTTTGTTTTCCACCGAAATGCCACATCAGTCATATTATGCAGCAGCGCTTAGGCAGACGTCCACGAGAGCGCGGCTGTGATGTGTGCAGCAGCCCGTGTTTGTCCATCAACAATCTTGTTAGTGTCCTTGAATGTGACACTAAGACCCTTTACATGCCCTCATTAGATACTCTGGAAAAGCTGTTTTATATTCATTAAGCTGGCAGTCGCACC